GAACAATCAACCTGAATAACCACCTAAAGACTAGCTGAACAGAAGTCTTACAGCCAAGGATTTACAGAAGGAGCCATGCTGAGACTGGTAGGAAGGGTGGAGACGTGAAAAGAACTGGCCCTGCACCCATGTGCGGCAGCTGAGAATCCAGAGGGATATCTTGGCTGCAAAGGTCCCCCCGAGGAATATGGAGTCGCAACTGAGGGGTACCACACTGGGTTATGCAGCCCAGAGCACCAGAGCTAGGAAGAGGTGCCCACATAACATCTGGCTGTGAAAATCAGTAGGGATTCTGTCTGCCAGGGAGAGACAGAAGTCTGCTAGAAACCCAGGCACTCTCTTAAAGGGTGAGTGCACAAAATCTCGTTTGCACCCACTCGCCTTGGACTCTGGCAGAGGGAGGGCAGATCAGAGAGGACTGGAGAAGTGCTGGGATAGACTGGATTTTGTGGCTCTGGGGAGAGCGCTGACGGGACAGCCACCAGGGGCCCTGTGCCGAGTTCCTGTCCCGCACCACCCACGGGTGCCATCTTTGCTGGTTTGAGCGCTCCCCTCCGTAGGGCATCAACCTGGGGAAATGCGTAGCCATACCCTCCCGACTCTCTGTGGAAGAGTCTGCTGCCTGAGCCTGTGGTGTAGACTTAGGGATGTTGAGGGCAAATAATAGAGGGAGTCAGAGACTGAGTTGTGTGGCTCTAGGGTGGGGGCCATTTTTCTCTCGCACGCCCAAATGGTGCCACTATTCCTGTGCAGAGCCCTCCCTTCACATGGCCAAATCTGGGTGTATCTGGGCCTGGTGAACTCGTCTAGTCTCCATTGATGATTCTCTGGTGGGATGAGACCCTGGTGGGCGGTGACTGACCTAGGAATACCCTGAGACTGTTGCTGAGCGCACCCAGCACTGCTGCCAAGTTTGAATCTGTATCGGTCTGGCAAACACCACTCACCCCTGCCTAGTGACTCACTGAGAGCCTACCTTACACAACTCACATACCGCCAGAGGCTCTTTCAGTGACTGAACCTAACAGGCAGCTAGCAGGTGGAGGAGGATCTCACAGAGCATTGGGCCTTTTGCTGGTCTGCCCCAGGTTCAGTGCTGGTGAACACCAGCTTTGGTGTCCAGCTTGGCCCCTTCCATGCACACATAGGCCCAGCAGAGGCAAACTGTGGATTGCCCTGTAGCTCCAAACAGGTAGCCCAGGGCCAGTCACAGGCAGTACCTGACACTGACCTACACTGGAATTCCTCCCAAGTGGCCCCAGAGCCAACACACCCAATAGCAAGCTTTAGAAAACATCAGATTAGGATTCAGTCAGCTCCGCAAGTGGCACACCCAAAGGCAGATCTGGGCAGCCACCAGACGCTGTTGGGGTGAATTCCACTTCATGGAGTCAGCCTCTGCACAGCAGCTCACACACTGCTGTTGGGGTCAATCCTTGTAGCTAGCCGGAGGGGCAACCTCATCCACGGACAGGCCCACAGCAGTCAGGACTCAGCTATAGCAGGAGGGTTCCCATAACCCACACAAGGAACATTCCTGGAGTGCCTAGCTCAGGTGATCAGGGGGTCTGTGGCACTGGACCCTCCAGGACACCTACGACATAAGGCCACCATACCAGAACTTGGAGGCATAGCAGGTCTACCTGATACACAGAAAAAAAATACAGAGGGGAGCCAAAATGGGGAGGCAAACATGCCCCAAATGAAAGAACAGGAGAAATCCCCAGAGGAAGAACTAAATGAAATGGAGGCAACCAGGCTCCCAGAAACAGAGTTTAAAACAGTGGCTATAAGGATGCTCAAGGAACTATGCGTGAACTCATTGACAACTTAAAGAGATAGTAAACATAACAAAGGACATAAAGACCATTTTAAAAAACATTCGGAAATGATGCATACAACATCTGAAATGAAGAAGACACTAGGAGGAGTCAACAGCAGGCTAGAAGAAACAAATGACTGAATCAGCAATTTGAAAGACAAGGTAGCAGAAAACACCCAATCAGGGCAGCAAAAAGAAAAAAAGGATATTAAAAAATGAGGATAGTTTAAGGGACCTCTGGGACAACATGAAGTGTAACAACATCCACATCCTAGGGGTACCAGAAGGAGGAGAGAGAGAGCAAGGGATTGAGAGCCTGTTTGAAGAAATGACTATGGAAATCTTCTCTAACCTGGTCAAGGAAAAAAAAAAAACATGTCCAGGGAACACAGCGAGTCCCAAATAAGATGAACCAAAAGAAGCCTATACCAAGACACATCATAATTAAAAAGCTAAAAGTTAAAGACAAAGACGGAATCTTAAAAGCAGCAAGAGAAAAATGGTTAGTTACATAAAAGGGAGGTCCCATAAGACTATCAGCTTTTCTCTCAACAGAAACATTTCAGGCCAGAAGGGATTGGAATAAAATATTCAAAGTGATGAAAAGCAAGGGACCACAACCAAGACTACGCTACACAGCAAGGTTATCACTTAAAATTGAAGGAGAAATAAAGAGCTTTCCAGACAAGGAAAAGCTATTAAGTTCGTTACCACCAAACTAGTGTTGCAACAAATGTTAAAGAGTCTCTTTAAGAAAAAGAAAGAAAGAAAGAAAAAAAAAGAGCATAGTTATAAAGAATAAAGTGGTCATAAATACACATATCTATCAATAATCACTTTAAATGTAAATGGATTAAGTGTTCCAATCAAAAGACATAGGGTAGCTGAATGGATAAGAAAACAAGACCCATATATACATATGCTCTCTATAAAAGACCCACCTCAAATGAAAGATGCAGACTAAAAGCAAAGGGATGAAAAAAGATATTTCATGCAAGTGGAAATAGAAAGAAGTTAGGGTAGCAATACTCATATTAGACCAAATAGACTTTAAAAGAAAGGCTATAATAAGAGACAAAGAAGGACATTACATGATGATAAAGGGATCGATCCAACAAGAAGGTATAACCCTCATAAACAATTATGCACACAACTTAGGAGCACCTAATACGTAAAGCAAACCTTGATGGACACAACGGGAGAAATTGACACTAATGCAGTCATAGGGGATGTTTAACATCCCACTGACACCCATGGACAGATCTTTCAGACACAAAATCAGCAAGAAAACAATGGTTTTAAATGATACACTGGACGAGATGAATTTAATTGATATTTTCAGAGCATTTTACCCCAAAGTAGCAGTATATACATTCTTTTAAAATGCACATGAAATATTTTATAGATCAACTATGGGTTAGGACACAAAACAAGTCTCAATAAATTTAAGAAGATTGAAATCATATCAGGCATCATCTCTGACCACAATGCTATGAAACTAGAATTCATACACCATGATCAAGTGAGATATATTCCTGGAATGAAAGGTTGGTACAATATCCACAAATCACTTTACATGATACAGCACATAAACAAAAGGAAGGATAGAAATCATATGATCATAACAATAGATGCAGAAAAAGCATTTGACAAACTCTAGCCCCAATTTATGATTAAAAAGTAAAACCTCTCAGTGGGAATAGAGGTAACATACCTTAACATAATAAAGGCCATTATATGACAAACGTGCAGCCAACATCATATTCAACAAGGAAAGACTAAAAGCTTTTCCCTTAAGACTTGGGAACAAGACAGGAATGTCCACTTTCACCACTTTTCTTCAACATAGTACTGGAAGCCCTAACCACAGCAGTGTGACAAGAAGAAGAGATAAAAGGCATCCAAACTGGAAAGGAAGAGGTAAAACTGTCATTATTTGCAGATGACATGACACTGTACATAGAAAGCCCTAAAGATTCCACCAAAAGAAACTACTAAAACTGATCAATGAATTCAATAAGCAGTAGGATACAAAATTAATATTCAGAAATTGGTTGCATTTCTACATACCAACAATGAACTATCAGAAAGGGAAACTTAAGAAAACAACCCCATTTACAATTACATCAAAAATACCTAGGAATAAACTTAAGTAAGGGGGTAAAAGACCTGTACTTGGAGAATTATAAGACACTGAAGCAAGAAATTGGAGAAGATACAAATAAATAGAAGCATTTACCATGTTCATGGACAGGAAGAATTAACATTATTAAAATTTCTATACTAACCAAAGCTATCTATAGATTTTTAATTGGATTGTTTGATTTTTTTTGGGTGTTGAGTAGTATGAGTTCTTTATAAATGTGGGGTTTTAACCCCTAATCAGATGTGTCATTGGTGAATATCTTCTCCCATTTGTTCTGTTCATAGATTTTTTTTTTTTTTTTTTTGCTGTGCAAAAGAAGTACAGTCAATTCTCTTTATTTGTGGTAGTGATGTTCTATGAAGTCACTGTGGACACAGAATTAGCTGATACTGAACCATTGCTCTCGAGAGAAATACCGGGGTAGTCTCCTGCCAGCCTCTGCTCACGGTGTTTTTGGCAAAATATCAATAGACAACCTTGCTTGTTTTTTTTTTTAAAGACACGTTATTTAATACAATATCATTGCCTAATTAACATTGAACTCACGGCCAGCAGCGCTATAACTCATGCTTCAATGAAGCTTATCTAACAGACATATTTTCTTTGTAAGGCACGCCGCAGCCATCATGTGCTTAGGGATACTAGAGAGCATTTCAGCACTGTGTCTGGGGGCCATTTTAACAGTGAAATCACCAACCAAAAACAAAACTAAAAAAAAATATGTGCAAAAGTGGCACTAAAGAGACCAGGAATAGAACGCTTATTTATAGTATGAGAGCTGAAATGGGAGGCAGCGTGGTGCCTTGATCAGACTCGGCAGGACATGTGGACTGGGCAGCTCACATATTCATTGTTCTGCTGCACATGTCCACGAGTGACTGAGAAAGAGCTGTGAGTGCTGATTTGGGGAATATAAATAAATTTTAGCAAGTAGGTAAATTGCAGACATGGAAACTGCAAATATGGGGGATCAACTATATCTCTATTTTGATCAATTCAGCTAATTGTATTTCTTTTCTTTTTTTTTTACAGATAATTCAAGGAACAGATACACACTTATATCCATACCAATACTAGTGATATGTTTGGGACTGTTAATAAAATGTATGTATATTTTTCTTTAAAAATATGATTTTCCAAACTTGAATTGGCATTTCAAAGACTAGAAAATGAATAGTTTAAAGAGGAAAAAAAGTTTGAAGTTTTAGGCATTTTGAAGAAACTGAAACTTTCGTGTTGTACTTGTTGTCTCAGTAGCTGTGCCAGGTCCTTCCAAGGTTCTGCTTTATTCTGAGGTAGAATGAATCCTTGGGCTACGGTTTACAGGCGGGGCACAGCCGAACACTCCTGGGGCCTAATCCACAGCCTCCGTCTGTCTTTGGTTCTCTTCACCATAGAGTTGTACTTCTGATCTTCAAGTCAGATTTTGCAAAGATCCCTCACTCTTGGCTGCCATAGTTGTCCATGCCTCATAGCCTAGGAGGAGGGTCCAGGTAGGAAGGAACTTTTGTTGAGTTGGGTGACTTGGAGTAGGTGATAATGATCTGGTATTACTTGTGTTGCCTTCCTGAGCCTTCCTTAGTCCCCCAGAGATTTTGGGCCAACTAGAAAGCAACCCATATGCCCTGGAGAACTGGCGACCAGACAAGCAACCCTTTCTCAAGTCCCAAAGGATGTTGATCAGATGTGAACAGATGTTCCTGCAACTCCATCAGTTTCCATATCAGGCCTCACCAAAAGGGTATCTACAAGACTAATTTGTCCCTCCCACGGGGAGTGCTGAAGAGTAAGCTTTCTGCACGGTGATGGCGTTTAGGGTCCACGTCATTTCACACATGCTTTAAACCAAGTTGGCAAGCTAGATTTCTGTTTTCCGAGGCCTGCACTGTTCACTGAGTAGGTACTAGCCACATGTAGTGATTTACATATAAAATTGAATTAACTAAAAGTAAATAAAATTTAAAACTTAGTTCTTCAGTTGCACTAGCCACATTTCAAGTTCTCAGTAGCCATACACAGTTAGTGTCTACCATTTTTATTGTTACAGATTTTTAAAAACAATATATTTAACATTTTTTATTTATTGACTTAAGAGAGACAGAGAGACATTGATTTGTTGTTCACTTATTAATGCATTCATTGGTTGATTCCTGTATGTGCCCTGACTGGGGATCAAACTCACAGCCTTGGTGTATCAGGACGACACTAACCAACTGAGCTAGCTAGCCAGGGGCTGGCTACCGTTTTGAATAGCCAAGATCGAAAACAGCTCTTTCATTGCAGCAAGTTCTGTTGTTCATGGCTGACCTGGATTATCTGGGGACACTGGCACTAGCATATGATTTCCCAAGGACACTGTTTCCATATTACAGGTCGCAAATACCACAAAGACCCCCTAAGTAATAGATTATCAGCCAATTGACTCACCTCTAAGCAAGTTGTAAAAATTAGCTGAAGAAAATTTTGAGGCATCGTTACCGATGAGTACAATTTAGATCTCAAATGTTCTTTTTTTAAGAAGTTATTTTTCATCCCCAGATAATGGGTATTAGTTAGTCATCTCTTTAACAGGTTGGTCCCCAGGAATGCAAATCATTTTTCACTCAGCGTTGTTATGGGTCTTTCACCAGAGCACCTGCACCAAAGGAAGGTGACACTGGGTACCCACACTTCATGACAACTGGTCAATTTAACTTAAAAAAAAAAGTTCATTCAATGGAAAGGAAATTATTCCATTGGTCAATACTGGTAGCACCATATAACTTGAAAAAAAAATTGTTCAAAAAAATACTTTCTTTGGCAAACATCTCAAGTCTAAAGCCATTAATTGGGACATGGCGCAGTGCTTGGCATGGAGCTTCTGGAAGGAGAGTCAAATGTAAATGGCTAGAGTCGTTGACAAGCACCTGTACACGCTCAGCCAAGCCTGGGGGCCAGGCTGCTGGACCACTTGCATGGCTCGAGGCTAAGGCTGATGCTTGGTGGGAAGGAAACTGATGTGTCCCCATACAAGCCTGCACTGTCTGAAACAGTAGCCATGAGCCACTTGTGGCTCTTGAGCCCTTGAAATGTGGGAGTGCAAGTTGAGATGTGCCCTAAGTATAAAATGCACACTAGATTTATAAGACTTAATATAAAAACAGGAAATGTGGAATATCTCACTAATAATGTTTCTGTTGATTACATGTTGAAAAGAAAATATTTTTATATATTGGGCTAATAAAATACATTATGAAAATTAATTTTACTGAATTAGTTTTACTCTGTAATGTGGCTACTAAAATTTTTTGAGCACTTGTGTGGCTCACATTATACTCCTATTGGGCAGTGTTTGTCCAAACCATTCTAGTCTTGCTCTTGTCTTTAGCCTTATGCCCAAGCTGCTGTAGAAATAACCATTTCCTCAACAGTTTTTGTTTTTCAATCATCTGATGACTAATTTTTTGAACAGCTCTTTGGACCAACTCTAGCCAATTTCATTTAAGCATTTAGGAGAGTGAGAAAGGCCAGCTTGACAGAGCTCCGGTCTCCAGATTCAGGTCTCTGAAAGGCAGTTAGTTAGTAACTCCAGATTCAGCTGCTGTTTTCAGCCCTTTAACTGAGATGACAAGTTTCTTCTCTTGTAGATATGTGGAAAAGAGACAGGAGGACAGGAGGACCCATGTAAGTACCCTGTGGACACTGCGGTGGGTAAACTGCGTGTCGTGTGGTATAACCAGAGCAGCCTGAAGGTCAAGTGCCTGTCACTTGGGGAGCCAGATTCTATGATTCTGCCAGCACCTTGAACAGTAATCAGTGACATCAGCAGATATACTAGCCGCAGCTCATTAAGCACCACCCACGCGCCTGACCCTGGGCTGACCGCTCTCTGTACCTCATCTCATTGAACCCTCTCAGTGGGCCTTACACGGGGGTGTCAGTACCCTTGTTTGAGACGCTGAATGAGTCAAGTCCCATTGCTAGTAAGTGGTGGAGCTGAGAGGCAAATCTAGGTGTTCAGACTCCAAGGGTTGTACTTGGCATCCCTCCTCCTCCCATCCCAGGAACGTGGGACCGAGGACTGGGCTCTCTTTAGGAGTCAGAGCTGGGCCCGTGTCACACACAAAAGTTAGGACCCTCACATAATTAGCAGTGACAGTGTCATTCGTAAATGGCCATAAGGAGGCTCCCAAAGGCCCCTCGTGACAGATGCCACTGGTGGTAGGAGGCAGGGGCCAATGAGCTGCTCTTCGAGGGACGAGGGGAAGAGACTGGGCCTGGGGCTGTAGAAGGCAGGATAGGAAGTGGCAAGTCATTCTCTTTGGGGTGGCAAATGTCAGGGGGCTACAGGAAGATGGGGTTTGCAGGAACATCGTTGGGAGCCAGGGCCCCTTACGGGCTCGGATATGGGCACAGGGAGCCAGGGCAGCTCCCCGAGCAGGAGAGCTGTGCGTGAAAACGCTGCTTTGGGATTACGGGTCCAGGAAGGAAAACCTGACGCCTTAGGCCGGCATCCCCGGGGGAAACCTGGGTAGCTCGCGGCTGCGGTGGGAGAGGAGCTTACTTTTCTCAGTGTATTTTTGTTCGCTGTTCCTATCTTGCACTTCGTGTGTTTCCTGCCTGTTTGATGATAATTTTTAAATTTAAAGAGCCCGCTGTGGCTTCGCAGGGAGTTCCCTAAACTTGCTTACGAAAGAGCCACATGTACGGTGGAGGGGTAGGAATTTGGAAAAGAGTTGGAGAGACGATAAACGTGTCACAGGGAGCAGATGCAGAATTGTCACATGTCCTTGAGAACAGTGTCAGGAAGCTCTAAGCCCAGCTGGAAATATCTGAGGACAGTCAAGTGGATATCAGATATCTGAGGGACAATGGACGTGAGAGGACATGTCACTCCCGGACAGTACAATTTAGCCAGTTGCCAGGCGTGCCGGTGTTTTTCCTTTATGGTAAACGTCTGGGAAGCAGACGTCCATCGAATTAAAAAGGCAGCAGAGTCGTCCCTTTCTCTGGGAGGAAAGATTGGCGGGTGGCCTCTCAGCCCACAGGTGAGCTGGAGATGCAGCCCTGATTCTTTGGCAGTGGATGAAGCAGGCTGTGGGGGGTGGGTGGGGAGACCCCTGGCGAGAGGGCGGGGGGTTGGGTGTAGCAGGGGCGCAGAGCTTCTCAAGGTGCTGCTCTCAGGAGGAGTCCTGTGCCGGCCGGAACTGGTTTGAGAAGGGCGGTCCATTCCATCCCCTCAGAAATTCACGGCACACGTTTGCCGTCCTGTGAGGCTCTGACGAAGGGAAGCTCCCATTTATCTTCCTTTCCCTAACCCTTGACCGCAGCAGGAACTTTTTGTGAAGGCTGGTTCTGGAGTCTAGATATTTTGGGAACTCTGGGCTGGTCTGCGCTGTCTGGGCTGGTCTGGGCTGGTCTGTGCTGGTCTGGGCTGGTCTGATCCCATCTGATCCCATCAGGTCTGCTCTGGTCCATGGGAATCCTGACTGTGAGGCAGACAAAGAGCCGAGACATGGAGTGAGTTTGGAGGGGCTCGCTCAGGAGAGGCTGCAGCCCCCGCTGTGAGCGGCGTCCTCTGTGCTAACCCAGGAGTGTCTGTTGGCACCACAGAGGCGACTAGAGAGAAGTTGCGGTGGGAAAGAGGCCGTCCCCGAGAGAGTCAAGAGGCAAAGAAGGAAATAAATGTTGGGAGGAGTGACAGTGTTCTCGTGGGTCTTGGTGCGGTGTCTCAGCTCTGCTGGCCGGAAGCTTCAGTTACACCTCCGGGCCCCGGCGGCTGGTGGAGCTCCAGCTGCCATGCAGCCTCAGGGCCAGTCTCCCTCCGCCTCTGCTCCCCAGCGCCCTCGCTGGTGATGGGCTTATTACAAAAGGGCAGCTCACATTTAAACGGGAGGGTAATGATGACTCTGGATCTGCAAACCCGAAAACCGCATTTTACCAGTTACTAACAGGAGATGTTTTTCTCTTACAGCTCCAGTTGATGGCTCCTAGAAGATGAGATCAGATCCTTAGTCGCTGACTTTAAAAGCCATGTGACTTACCATTTTTTATTTTTATATCGTCTTTTTTAAAACACGAATTGATTATACAGGCGCGCTCTCTCTCTCCTTCTCTCTTTAAAATTTATTTTGTGCCCTGGCCAGTGCGGCACAGTTGGTTGGAATGTCATCCCATAGACCAAGAGGTTGCGGGTTTGATTCCTGGCCAGGGCATAGCCCAGGTTGCAAGTTCAGTCCCCCTGATTGGGCTGCAAATGGGAGGCAACTAATCTATGTTTCTCACTCTTCCTGTTGCTCTCTAAAAGCAGTGAAAAAATGTCCTCAGGTGAGGATTTTTAAAAATGTATTTTATTATTTTTTTAGTATTGATTTTAGAGAGAGATAGGAAGGGGAGAAAGATACATCAATTTGTTATTCCACTTATTTATTTAGTTGCTATGAGAGAGACAGAGACAGAGACAGCGACTTTTTGTTCCACTCATTGACGAGTTCATTGGTAGCTCCTTTTATGTGCCCGGACTAGGGATCAAAACCGCAACCTTCGTGTGTGAGGAAGACACTAACCAACTGAGCCACCTGGTCAGGGCTGTGTCACCTTTAAGGGAGCAGGAAATCTAATGTGAAGCAGTCTTCCACCATAAAGAAGTTGAAACTGCATCAACAAACAAAGAAGCATTAGTTTTCTATGTTATCCCCACTACATTATAATTCAATGCAGTAAGGGGTGGGTTTTGTACATAATGTAAATATGTACATAAACAATGAGGTGGTTTGCCTCTTTTTTTGTTAGAAAATAGTATTGTCCTGTCCCTCAAAGGCTTTTTGCTGAAATCTATACCTCACATGTCTTTGTTTTAGAAGAAAAGTAACTCATTGCGGGATTGGCTGTGGAGTGAAGGAGGAGGGGGACAAAGCCCTTTTTTCACCGGTCGGTCTGTGGCTGTTGGCAGGAGGTGAGGCCTCAGGCATCTTCTGTTTCTCCCGCAAAGACCTCACCCCCACCCTCCAAACGCAGGCGTAGGACCTGGGTAGGACCGGAAGATTCCTGCCATTACCATCTCTTAGCCACTTAGTGGATGGTGTTCGTTGTCCCCTGTCAGGTGGACAGCAGAGGACTCTTAAGGATCATACGGTCACATACGAATGCAGAAGGCAATGGGCAGCCCTGGCTGTCCCCACCCCCACCCAGCCCCGTCCGGCTGTCCTGTAAACCCAGGACCCCAGAGTCCACAGGCAAAGGCCTTGTTAGCTCCTGAGCCGGCACTACTCCTGGAATCCTTGTCACGGGAGAGTGTCCGGCCTGAAGGAGGAATTAGTGCTTTTCCCGACCAAGGCCGGTGCGTAAAAGGGGCCCCATGAGGCGGCCCCATGGGGCTGCCCCCGCCCCCCCGCCGCCGTCCGCGGAGGCAGTCAGGCTGCGAGCCTTGACTCCTCCTGGGAAGGCCCCACTTCTCCCTAGTCCCCCCACCTCCAGGTGGCATAGTTCCCCCAAAGCATGTCTCCAACCCATCTTGTCAACTTGGGCCCTATAGGGAGCCGCGGACTCCCCGAAGTTCATTCATCCTCAGGCTCTTGTCTCCTTACGCTTTGTAGGGTCCTTTCTGACCCCACCCATCAAGAGCAAAACCCCTGGTTCGCTCTGCTGTGAACGCTGCCTACGCCTCCCTGTCCGCACTGGTCCCGAGGGCGCTGCTCACTGCGGCCCTCCCGCGGGGCAGCTGCTGCCTGTGCCTTTTGGCCCAGAGGGAGGGAAGGCCTCTGCTGGGTTCTCTCGGCTTCCGGACCATCCCTCAGTTTTGATGCCCATGCCACCCCACATCCCCTTTTCTGTTTATCTCTGTTCTTCCTCATCCCACACAGATTTTAGCACTTGATCAATGTCTCTCTCTGAATGCTGCTGTTTTTCAGAATCTCAGTGTTTCAGAGCTTGCAAACGCAACACCTGGGGCGGGTCCCCCCCCCCCCCCCCCCCAGACCTTGACTTCCCCTTTCTCAGGAGCCACTGTTCCAGCCCTGCCCCTGACCTTTCCATCACCAACGCCTGCAGCCTCCACTGTCCCGTGCGTCCCTCCCTGCTGTCCTCCCCATCACTTCCTCCAGGGCCCCACCAGGAACTGCAAGCCAGCGACCCTTCCACTTCTCCCTGGCACTCACATTCTTCTCGCCTGCGGGATCCTCCTCGTTCCTCCCTCCTGTTACTCCTTGCCCTTCACTCTTTGACCCTCCGCCTGACTTTCTCATTCAGCCAAATCCCAGCCGTGATTATAGTGGCCTCCACTGGGGTCCCTCCCAAACTGCAGAGCGTGCCTGGAGAAAAACGCCCCCCGCGGACTCTCCGTGTCCAGTCAGTGGCTGCACGCAGGCCTCGCATGGACTCATGGCGAGATCCACTCCTCGTTCCTCAGCCGTGCGCACGGCGTCGCCCTGGGCCGTTCACCGTCTCCTCATCCCTCTTCTGAGACCTGCAGCCCTGTCCTCTCAGCTGCTTGCTTCGCTTCCCGTGTCACTGAAAAGAATACAAACATTCAGAGAGCCCCCTGGGCCTCCCCTGCACACTCCCAGCTGCGTCGGCCCGTACTTGGCTCCCGTTACTATAGGTGAACTCTTGCTTCTCCTAACACCAGTCTCCACTTTCCTTATTTTCTTAGTCTGCTGGGGCTTCCATAACGAAACCACACTGGGTGACCTAAAGAGCAATTTTTTTTTTTTTTTGCACAGCTCTGGAGGCTGGGACATCTAAGACCAAGGTTCCAGCCGGTTTGGGTCCTGGTGTGGGGCAGGGGGAGAGCTCTAGCGTCTCTCTCCCTGTGAGGACCTCTGTTCTATTGGATTAGGTCCCCACCCTCAGGACCTCATTGAACTTTTTCACCTCCTCTTAGGCTCTGTCTCCAAATGCATTCACAGTTGAGGAGTAAGGTTTGGATTTTAGGGGACGAACACTCCACCTCTGCTGCTGCAATACTTAGGCAGAGAGTACCACCTCCTCTCGCTGACTAAGGGACATCAGCCCATTGTCCACCTCTCTTCCCCCACCATCACCTTTGGCCTCGTTTCTACGTCCTACAAATGTCACTTCTCATACCATCAAAAACCCAAAAGACTTCAGATTTCACTTCCTTGTCCAGTTCTTGTTTCATGGCTCTGAGGTCTTCCACGGAGAAATTCCTTGGAAGAGCACTCTGTTCTTCCTTTGTCTAACCACCCTCCTCCCGTTCTTTCTTGGACCCTCTTCCACCGGGTTTCCACCCCCGCCCCGCCGCCCGCTGGTCAAGGTGACCTCCGGCCCCTCGCCCTGGGGCCCCGCGGTCGGTTCTCAGGCCCGCCTGCCTCTGCTGTCGGCAGCGCGCGACACGGTGGAGCGCCTCCCCTGGGTTGGCGCTCGCAGGTGCCGGGCTCCGTGGGGCGCGGGAGATGAAGGAAGCGCTCGGCGTGACCGGCCCAGCACACACGTGGGCGCGCACGGCGAGGGCGCGGAGCCTGCCACGGGTGTGCGCGGAGAGCTACGGTAGCGCAGCCACAGGACCGGCAGCGCCACGCCTTTGCATTTATCCGAGAGAGCAAAACTTGTGTCGGTACAAAAACTTGTGCGTGGACGTGCACTCTACGGGCACTGAAATTAGAAATTGTAGACAACACATGAAGGGTACGCGAAAGGCAGGGTGGGGCTGAAGTCCCCAAAATAGTCTTAAAACATTGGTGACTTTGGTTAATAAAATTATATAGGTTTCAGGTGCCCAATTCTGTAATACTTCATCTGTATGTTGTATTGTGTGTTCACCACCCCAAGTCTCCTTCCGTCACCATGTATCCCCCCATACTCTCTTCTGCCTCGTCCAGCACTCCCCCCAAATAATCTTATTCTCAGTGAAAGGACCATGGCTCTGGGTCAAGCTGTTGGTGAAGGAATGAGCACTGATATGTTTTAGGTTAAAAGAAAAAACGTTTAAATATGTATATAGTGTCCAGCAGAAGAGTGTGGTTGGTAGGGTAATAACATGGGTGTAATAATTTATAGTTTTAATTTGAACATCTCACCTAAAATGTCACATGGTGTGCTAGCGTGCAATATTGTTATGTTACAGAATCACATGCTTCTAATTTTGTAATAAAAGATTTTGTAATAAGAAAGGGGTGTTATTTGTGCCAGATCCTGTATAATTAGAATTTTCTTCTTCTGTTTACTCACACATATGTCCATTAACATATAAATGTGATTATGTTATACATATTTTAATTTCGACGCAGTCCTTTTTCTCCCCCCTTCAGATTGGGTCCTCCTTTGCTTTCTCCCCCCTCCCCAGCCCTCCCGGGCACTGTGTGTGCCCCAAAACCGTGTTGATGGCTGGGTGCAGGTCCTGCCATGTCTGCCTTCACGCTCCTGTCCATTGCCACACGTACACAGTTGGAGGTGGGGTGGGGAAGGGTGGTATTACTTCTTTTTAAAAATGGGATAATTTCATACCCAATATCCTTCCTTTGTTTTCCCTCACCACTCATTCATGGTAACCCTATGATAATAGCACCGATTTATTCTTTCTAATGGCTTTTTAATTCCCTAGCACATCAATATATTCAACCACTCCCCTTTGGAAGGGCATTTGCTTTGTTTCAAGGTTTTGTTTTTTTACCATAAGCAAGAATTCATTATACATCCTTGTACGTTCTAGTATTTTTCTTTTTTATATCTGAGGGGTAGAGTCATAGGAGTGGAACTGTCGGGTCAAATGGTACATGTATTTTTAATTTTAATTCTAGTAGATATTGCCAGATTGCTTTTTGAGAGGCCGTGCCACCCAAGAGCAAGAATTAACTATTTCCTATATTCCCACCAGCAAGAGGTGTTACCAGCCTTTTGAATTTTCAGTCATTCTGATAGAAGTAAAGACATATCTCATTGCTACTTAATTTACATTTCCTCATTACTAGCATCTGAAATCTTTTTATGTTTTTTGCCCTTCTGGGCTGGCTCTTCTGTGAATTGCCTATTCTGCATCTTTTGTAAATTTTCATTCTCTTTTTAAAAATAATTAATTGCTTTGATTAATTTTGCAACTAGTCTGCCAGCTTCCAATTCGTGTCCTGTTGAAGAAGACTGAAAAATGTTATATGGATATGTTGCTGTCATGAACCCTTGGAAATGACCGCTGCAAGGACAATGACAACATGCAGAAGGTGGTAGAGAAGATGTAGAAGAAGGGGTTAGAAGAGTGAAAGGAAGGATGAATAGGAAACCCAAGTTCTTGAGAAGATAGAAACGATGTAGCCCTGCAGCGCTCAAATTAGTATATGGCGAAAAATTACACAGTAAAGATTAGTCGGGTGCTCGGGAAATGTACATTCTCGTGTGTGTCCATGCACACACAGACGGACACACAGGCACGCACACTGTCATTCACTGAACATTTACAATGTGCCAGCCACAGTACTAAGTGCATTGCCTGCCGCATCTCAGTCCTCACCAGGAGGTTGTTGGTACTGTTACTCATTTTATTCCCATGATGCAGATGGAAAAACAGAGGCTCACAGAAGCATGGTAACATGGCCAAGGCTGTATTGCTAGTAGGTGGTAGAAGGAAAATTTGGGGCCAGGTCTGCTTGACTCCCAGCCCTTCGCTGACAGAGAGACGGCTGGGCCTGGGGACCACCCGGGGGCAAACGGCGTGGGCCGGGCTGGCAGGAGGGAGCCTGGGCAGGCCGGGGAAAGGCTTACAAAGCAAGTGGGGAGAAGGCCAGAAAGCCAAAGCCTGGGTTGGAGGGTTTCTTGAGAAAATGATGTGGTCGGAAGAGCCTCTGGCAGGAGGTTTCAGCCCTGCTGGACCGTTGGGTGGGCTGAGCTGGCAGCTGGGTCCTGGCTGCCCAGCCGACACAGGCAGCTGGAGGAAGAAGTGACTCATCACAGCGCAGCTGGTGGAGCAGCAAGATGAAGGAAGTGCCCATTTAAGGAACTGTTATTGACTCAGCTTACTGCTCAGTTCACCCTAGGTCTGCCTCAGTCTCTGGGGGGCAAGACCCCTGAAGGACAAAAGCCTGAGGCCTGGCGGAGCCACTCTGGCCAGCCCTGCGAGAGCTGCGAGGTAGGACTCCCATCAGCGGGTTCAAAGAGCTGCCCAAGCGGGCCCCAGGTTGTGACCTGGGAAGGCCAGGAAGTCACAGAAGCTGCGTGGGCCTACTCCCAACCACAATCTAAGAGAAATAACAGCCCCCACCCACCCTTGCGGAGGGTGAGTGAAATTGTAAATCATGGAGGCGCTATTGCCGTGGTAACGTTTGCCAGGAGTTGGCAAATATATTCGATAGAAAAGCCTCCCAGGAGATGGTGAGGCGGTTGCACCG